GGGCCCCTAAAGAATATGAGTTTCCAGCCTTAAAAAACAATGAAATTATGGGATTTTCCAATAAATGGATAGAACTGGAGAATATTATGCTAAGCGAAATAAGCCAATCCCAAAGAACCAAAGGACAAATGTTTTCTCTGATATGCAGATGCTAATTCACAATAAGCAGGGTCAGGAAGAATAGAGGTATTTTGGACTAGACGGAGGGGAGTGAAGGGAGGGGAGGGAGTATGGGAGTAGGAATGATAGTGAAATGAATCAGACATTATTATCCTATATGCATATATGATTACACGATTTGTGTAACTCTACATTATATACAATCGGACAAATGAGAAGTTATACTCCATTATGTATGATGTGTCAAAATGCATTCTACTGTCATAACTAATTAGAACAAATAATTTTTAAAAAGTATATGAGTTTCTCAGGGATGTCTCCAAGTAATCATTAGATGATCAACAAATATGCAAAGAATAAATGAAAGCACTAGAAGATGCTTATTAAGCTAAGGGGGTCAGTAAAGACTGTCATTAGCCCAGCTTCCGGTCCAGGTGATGAATAAGAGGCCAGATTGGTGCAGTCATCACTCAAAAGTTAGTTTAGGCTGGGCATGGTAGTGCACACCTGTAATCCCACCACCTTGAGAGGCTGAGGCAGGAGGATTGCAAGTTTGAGGTCAGCCTCAGTAATTTAGCAAGAACCTAAGCAACTTAGCAAGACTCTGTATTAAAATAAAAAACAATAATAGCACTGGGGATGTAGCTCAGTTGTTGAGTGCTCCTAGGTTCAATCCCCAATACAAAAAAAAAAAAAAAAGTTAGTTTAGGAGTGTGTGTGTGTGTGTGCGTATTTTTTTTTAAGTTGTCAATGGACCTTTATTTTATTTAATTACATGCAGTGCTGAGAATCTAACCCAGTGCCTCACACATGCTAGATGAGTGCTTTACCACTGAGCCACAGCCCCTGTCCTGCCCTAACATTTCTTGTCTGTATTTTGGTCAAGAAATACCAAAACTAAAAACAAACAAAAAAATCACTCTCCTTTCATTGCAGATCCCACCTAACACAAAATAGAAATCACCAAGTGCAAGTAACAAACTGCATAAAGGTCAAGTCCAATTCTGAACCAAAGCTCAGTAGGAAACTAGTTCTAAAATCTAAGAAAAAACCCATCAGCCACAAAAAAACAGCCACAGATAATTCCACTTGTACATACAGCACCTAACTCTGTACCTTAAATGCTAATCAGTTCAGAAAAGATTATTTCTATCAGGTCTTTGAATGTGGTTTTAAGGGGGAAAATAAAGTAACAATAATAAAATGAACAACTACAAGAAGGAAAGATAACAAAAAACAACTGTAAAGGTTCCTCTCCTTTCTCACACACACAAATATGAATGACCTATTTTATAAATCAAAATATTTTCACAGAATGTTGACTATGAAAATCTTAAAAGAAGAACTGCAGGGGCTGGGGATGTGGCTCAAGCGGTAGCGCGCTCGCCTGGCATGCGTGCGGCCCGGGTTCGATCCTCAGCACCACATACAAACAAAGATGTTGTGTCCGCCGAAAACTAAAAAATAAATATTAAAAGTTCTCTCTCTCTCTCTCTAAAAAAAAAAAAAAAGGATGAACTGCAACCCTTTCAAGGGACAGCTATTAGGGATAAAACATTGAAATTCTCTTCATCATTTCATTGCCTTCTAAAAATAATTATCCTCTGGCTCACCATTTTCTGCTGCAGTTCGTACCCAAGGATTTGTGTTTTCATACAGGATAAGATTAAGTTTGGATAAAACTTGGCACAATTTAGTAGGCTGCAGTGACACATGCCTTTAATCCCAAGGACTTAGGAGGCTGAAGCAAGAAGATTGCAATTTGAGACCAACCTCTGCAATTTAGTGAGGCCCTAAGGACATAATAAGACCTTGTCTCAAAATAAAAACAAAGCTGGGGATGTGGCTCAGTGCTTAAGCCACCTGGGTTCAATCCCCAGTACCAAAAAATTGGTACAATTTTTGACGCTAAAATAGAAAAGATTGAAATTCAATCATGTTTAACAAAAACTTCTGATCTACTTCAGAGCAACCAATGATTGGAATTGAGTCTTACCTTCTTTTTGGGAACTTGAAATATACACAAGAAAAAACAGGTAAATAAGTATCAGTTTTAATATAATCTTAAGTGTGTGTAGTCACAGGTATATAATGCAAAATATTCAAACTTAAAAAGTAATATGGAGGGGCTGGGGTTGTGGCTCAGTGGTAGTGTGCTTGCCTAGCATGCATGAGGCACTGGGTTCAATTCTCAGCACCACATAAATGTAAAATAAAGATATTGTGTCTACCTAAAACTAAAAAATAAATATTTAATAACAACAATAAAAAAAAGTAATATGGAGCTGGGCATGGTGGGGCAAACCTGTAACCCCAGTGGCTCGGGAAGCTAAGGCAGGAGGATCATAAGTTCAAAGCCAGCCTCAGAGCTGGGGATGTGGCTCAAGCGGTAGCGTGCTCACCTGGCATGCGTGCGGCCCGGGTTCGATACTCAGCACCACATACAAACAAAGATGTTGTGTCCGCCGAAAACTAAACAATAAATATTAAAATAATTCTCTCTCTTAAAAAAAAAAAAAAAAAAAGCCAGCCTCAGCAATGGTGAGGCACTAAGCAACTCAGTGAGACCCTGTCTCTAAATAAAATATAAAATAGGGCTGGGGATGTGGCTCAATGGTTGAGTGCCCCTGATTTCAATCCCCAGTACCAAAAAAAATAAAAAAAAGTAATATGGAAACATTAAGAAGAAAATACTATCCGATATTCAGTTTGGCAGTTTAACTTTCAAACTTAAACATAAATTTGCCATATAATTCAGCAATTCCACTTATACATTTATACAATTCCACTTATACATTTCCTAACCCCCCAAAGAAAGAAAAAATATGCCCATACAAAGATTCTTATATGAATATTTATAGCAGTATTACATAAAAGTCAAAAAGAGGAAACAGGGCTGGGGCTGTAGCTCAGTGGCAAAGCACTTGCCTAGTACATGTGAGGCACTGGGTTTGATCCTTAGTATCACATAAAAATAAATAAATAAAATAAAGGCATGTTGTCCATGTACAACTACAAAATTCTTTTTTAAAGTGGAAACAATCTAAATGTCTGTCAACTGAAATGAATGAACAAAATATGTATATCAATATAAAAGAATACTATTTGACAAAAAGAAGAAATGAAACACAGTATACATATTCTAACAAACATAAGCTTCAAGAACATTTTCCTTGGTGAGAGAAGCCAGATACAAAAGACCACCTATTGTATGATTTCATTTGTCTGAAATGTCCAGAAAAGTCAAATCTAAAAAGAGAGAAAGCAGGTTTATATTTTCTTTGGGTCAGAGGCAAGAAAGAGGAGTGATTATACACAGGCATAAGGGATCTTTGGAGGATAACAAATATTCTGAAATTGGATCATGGTGATGGTTGCAAAACTCCATAAACATATAAAAAATCACATAATTGTACACTTACAACAAGAGAATTTTATGGTATGTCAAATATGCTGCTATTGAACTATTTTAAAAATATATCCAATAAGATGCAGACTGTCACAGCACAAATCTTTTTTAGATGTCTGTTGGTGAACATATGCACTTGTTTTTCTTAGGTACAAAGCTAGGAACAGAAATGCTCATTCAAAAGGAAAGCAAATATTTAACTTCAGTAGAAACTGCCTTAAATTTTGGCAAAGTGGTTAAACACATTTACACTCCCACTAACCATGTCTAAAATTTCCAGCTATTTTACTTCCTCACCAACAGTTGGTACTGTCAATTTTAAAAAAATTTAGCCATCCTGTTGGTTATGGTGAGGTATTCTGGTATGGCCTGAATTTGCATTTGCTTGGTCAAGGATGAGATTAAACACATCTTCATAAATGTATTGACTACTTGGGTATCTTTTTAGGTGAAGTGCCTGTTCAAGATTTCTGTTCGTTTTAAATGTTTTCCATCTCTTTCTTGCTTTATATAAGTTCTTCACTATGGATATCTTTGTTAGACATATATATAAATTGTGGTAGGAGAATAGCTCAACAGTGAAGCACTCACCCAGCATGCACAAGGCTCTAGGGTGGATCCCCAGTCATGCCAAATGAAAAAAATGATATATGAATTACAACCAGCAGTCCCCAATCATAACCTGCATTTTCTCTTAGTGACACTTTTTGTATTCAGAGGCCCATAAGAAGTACAATGTATCAGTATTTTCTTTTAGATTTAGTGCTTTGATGTCCTAAGAACTCTTTGCTTATCTCAAAGTCATGAAGATATTCCCCTATGTTTTCTTTTGGAAAATTTATTGTAGTGCCTTTCACATTTAAGTCTTTGGAGTTTTGTTTTTGTTGTTTGTTTATTTGTATGTTGTTTTTGGTGCTGAGATCAAACCCAGGGCCTTGGGCATGCTAAGCATTTTTTCTACCCCTGAGCTATACTCCAGCCACCATAATTGAATCTTTGATCAGTAATCAAATTCATTTTTACATGTGGAATCAAGGTTTGTTTATTTTCCCATGAAGATGTCCATTTGATAAAGCACTGCTTATTGATCAAATTATTTTCCTACTGAATTGCAATGGTATCATGGCTATAAATCAGGCAGCCATATTATGTATCTCTGGACCTGCTTGTGTTCCACTGTTGTTTTAGCTTTCAGAAATGATACCATCTTAGTTATTGAACCTTTATAGTAATCTTGAGCTAGGGAGCATTTTTATACACAATTTGTTTTAGAACTTCATAGACTCTTCCAAGAGAAACAAATACCCAAGTTAACTACGTCAAGTCTTTTGTATTATCATATGTATTGTGAAGAAAATATTGCTAGAATGAAAAACCTGAATATTTTCCACAGTATCAAACCTACCAAATCTACATGATCACTTATATTAACTACAGAAACCTGTTCAGCTTCACAATGAAAACAACCTACCTGCGTAATGTAGATGGTGTCTTTAAATTGACGTAAGGGGTCTGAGCTTTGGGGCAGTGTGAAATGAAGTCCAGCCTGATACAGCATTTCATTGTTGCCATGTTGATGATGTTGTCGATGAAAGGAAAAATTGCTCTTGTAAAACCAGTCCTTTTCAGATGAGACCTTTTGAATAAAAAAGGAGAGTTACAGATTGAGAAGTTAGGGGTAAAACTGCTTCTCTGTGAGCTCCTGACAAACCTGGAAAGCACTCTACACTCTGGGAAAGTGCTTAGGCTTTGCTCTGTGACTTTAATTTCATAAATGTTTTTGTCATCATGCTTGTTATTGGGAAAAACTATCCTTGTGCAAAGTAGAATTATAAAACCAGAATTTGACACTTAAAATCTCCCTTATTCTAACCTAGAAAGTTATGTCTTGGTATCTTTCCCCAAAACACTGCCTTATCAAAACATATTTCTGGTTTTTAAAACATTAATTATGTATATTTTAGAATATTATTTCATCTACTTAGGTAAACATAATTTTATGTTATTATTTTATCAAAACAGAATAATAAACTATAATCAACAGATTTAACAGAAATTGTCACAGTCCTTAAAAAGGAATATTGTAATACCACTATTACAATTATAAATGTTTTAAATGTTTTAGAGCTTGATCTTATTACTTATTCATTCCTCAGTGATTACAAAGCAAAACTGGTAAACATGTATTGAATCTTGATAAAGACACAAACCAAACAATGACACACCTCTCCTCTAAAAATCAGAATTTTGTTAAGGCCTCTCTCCATAAACAGTGTGGGAACAACTAGCTACCCAAATGCAAAAAGTAAATCTAAACACCTACCTCATACACACAGAACAAAATCACTCACAACAAGTCATAGACCTAAATGCTAAAACTATAACATTTCTAGATGACAATATAGGTGTAAACCTTTGTCATTTGGATTTCTTAGCTATAATAGCAAAAACTCAAGAGATTGGTAAGTAGAACTTCATTAAAATCAAAAACTTTTTGTACTTTAAGTGCTCCCATCAAGTTAGTAAAATGATAACTCACACATTGGGAGAAAATATTTACAAATCATATATCTGATTAAAGAAAATCCATAATACAAAATCTCATAATGTAATAAGAGAAAGACAAATAACTCAATTTAAAAATGAACAAAGAATGTGAATGTATATTTCTCAAAGGAAGATATACAATGAAAAGAGTCTCTCTGGGCTCGGTGGCACACGCCTGTAATCCCAGTCACTCAGAAGGCTGAGACCGGAGGATCATGAGTTCAAAGCCAGCCTCAGTAAGGGCCACTCAGTGAGACCCTGTCTCTAAATAAAATACAAAATAGGGCTGGGGATGTGGCTCAACGGTTGAGTGTCCCTGGGTTCCATCCCTAGTACCAAAAAAAAAAAAAAAGAAAGAAAGAAAGAGATGAAACTCAACAAAATCAACATCAAAGAAATGCAAAGTTTCTGTAAATGTATATTTCCAAGAAATGTTAAAAAAATGGAAAATAACAGGTGTTGGCAAGGATGCAGAAAAATTGCAGCCCTCATATATTGTTGGTAGGGATGTAAAATGGGGCAGTCACCACAGAAAATAACTTGTTAGTTCCTCAGAATATTAAACACTGAGTTATCATATGACTCAGCAATTCTACTCATAGGTACACACCCAGTGCAATAAAAAATGGGTTGACAAAGAAACATGTGCCGAACTATTCCATGCCAGCATTATTCATAATAGCCAAAAGATGAAAATAATACAAATGTCCACTAACAGAAAAACAGGTAAGCCAAATATAGAAAATCCATAAAACAGAATACTATTCAGCAATAAAAGAGTAATGACATACCAATACATGATACAATACGGATGAACTTTGAAAACATTATGGTAAGTCAAAGAAGCCAGTCTCAAAAGACCACATATTGTTTAACTCCAATTATATTAATTGTGCAGAATAGATTAATCTATAGACATAGACAATAGATTGGTGGTGCCTAAGGCTGGGGTAGGAGAGAGAGAGGACAGTGAAGAGTGGCTGTTAATGGATTCAGGGTTGCTTTTAAATGATGAAAGTGTTCTAAAATTGGATTGTGGTAATGATTTCAGAACTCTGAACATACTGAAGACCACTTAATTGTGCACATAAAAGTAATAGGAGTTATAATCTCCAAAATGATAATTTTAAGAACTTAGCTGGTTAAGTTAAAATAAAGGTTAAAGAAAAAAATGATTCTTTTCTTCTATTCATAATATGTAAATTGTAAAGCAAGGAATTAAATCTCAGTAAAGATCTTTTTTTAAGAGTGAAATATTTTCCTGCAAACTGAATATATGTGTTATTGCATGTATATTCAGATTATTAGTGGGCTTATCTATTGTCTTAAATATAGAAATAATCTTAACTAGTATTGGTGTACACATTTATTCAGATATTTGTGATTATAATCATTTATTAAATATTTGTCAATATAATGATAAATGTGTTCTTTTTAAAAAAATAGTTCATTTTAAAAAAAAATTTTTAAAAAGAACACATACAAATCTGAAACAGAATCTTTAAGAACAGAGAGCATGGAAATCCATACTGAAAATCAAATATACTTGCATGAAGAAAGAGGAGAATGAAATGGGAAAGGAGGAGAAAAAAACTTAAAACTTAATAACATTAGACCAAGATTTATTTATCACACTCACCTTTCTTACTGTAGTGAAATATCTAGTTCTGAATCTCTATAAATGATAAAACAGCTATAGGATTAGAGAAAGAACAAGTAAGAGATACTTTCATGTGCAAGAAGAATTCAGACTTCAGTTTTCATTTAATTTTCAAATGCTCCTAAAGGAACATAATTAAAACTGATATGTAAAAACAAATCCCACCATTTTTTATAATTATAATGCATCAATTAAAAATGCAGGAATATGTGAAAAAATACACAAAAATTAAGATACAGAAAAGTTATAATCTCCAAAATGATGATTATAAGAATTTAGCTATCCAAAAGTTGAAGGAAAAAAGTATTTTTCTTCCATCTTCTTCCTAAACTTTCATTTAAATAAGAAGTAGATTTCATTTGACCCTCTGAAGCACTGATCAGAAGCAACATATGTCCATAGTCTACTCTCCTGAATCACCATAAATCAAACAAATGATGGCTTACCGTCTGTAATGTACTGAAGGAAGGCCAGGACTGATATCCATACTCAGAGATGAATCTAGCTTTTGGGAAAACTTTCCAATCCCAGCAATCACTATGATAGTCATAAAAATGGACATCACCAAAATTCTTGCTGTTAGGGTCATGAGAGACCCAGCCTTCTGCAATGGACTCAGCTCCATTTGAAGGACTAGACGTTATAAAAGGACGACTCTTGTCCCTCTGAGTACAGAAATAAATTGGTTTTAAGGATAATAATTTCATTTGATACAGTACAGATCATTTATTCTTTAAAAATACTATCAAGACCCAGAAATGCCAAGTAACTGATAGAAAATGAACAGGAATGATTTACCTCCTTCCCCAACAGTACCACTCTGCTTTTCCCAACCCTCTATATCCCTTTATAATTACATTTAACCTCATCCCCCACAACAGCTCTTGCTAATCTTTTCAATCACGTTTCACCTCTACTCTTATCCAGCATAGGTAGCATATAGTTGAGCACAGAGTTTATCAACTTTGGCACTATCGACATTTGGACTGGATATGTTGTGGAGATGTATGTGGAGGTGGGGGAGGTCTTATGTATTATAGGATATAGCAGCATTTCTGGCCTCCACCCACTAGATGCCAGTAGTACCTATTCTCACCCCACCCCAAAAAAATGTCTACAGACATTGCCAAAGGCTCCCTAGGGGCAGAATCACATGCACCTAGCACCTCAGGTTAAGAACAAAATCTATTGAGTCAGACACAATTGTATTTTAATTCCAAACCAGGATCTTAGTATGTGGGGACATGTCTAATGCTCAGTACTCCTACCTATAAAATGAGGAAAATGACAAACCCTTTTCATAGAGATACTATAAACAGTAAACGATTTATATGTGGATGAAATGACCAAGTGTCTACCAAAATTCATGTTCTCATTTCCATGATATAGAGCTGCCATTGGGAAAGGGTCTCCTAGTCTCACTGTATCTGTATGAGGCCATGTGCCTCGTCTTCATCCTTTTCCACCATTGCTGGGCAAGGGCCTAGGAGGTGGTATGACTGGAATATGGAAGAAGCTTGGACCTCTAGAAGACAGCTGCCTGCCAGTCAGGAGTAGCCCTTTTATAGCACTTGTGAGTAAAAAATGAAGTTTTCTCATGTAAGCCATTGAAATACTGTGCTGACTTGCTACAGTAGCTGGCAGGGGAGTACCTAATATGGTACCTAGCACACAGACAGAACTCAAAATGCGTAGCTACTATCGTCTCAATAGGTGAGTTCACTTTCTATTTCATTGAGAAGATTCATTCATGTAGCACCATTTGGTCAAGTGTTCATTGCGTGTGAGACATTTCTCAGGTCTGCAGAAAGAGGATTCATTTTGTCAAGTACTGATACGTCAAAGCTCTTCTGAGCTCTCTTTATGTGCCAGGCCTATAGTCCTTTGTCCTGGAGGTTCAGCAGGAACAGACATGGTGACTGGCCTCCTAGAATAATGGTCTGCAACCTAGAGTTGAAACTAGAAATTAAACAAGTAACTAATTATAAGTGTGATGAGTATTTTGAAGGAAAGGTTCAGGGCTCTTGGGAAATCTAAAACATTGTAGAAGGTCAGTAAGGCTTCCTTGAACAACATTCAGAAAATAGTTTTCTCAATTTTTCTCCATTAGGCCACATTTTTTTGGTATATCCATTCATATTCTTTCCTTATTTGTTTTCTGACATAGAAAGAAATCTAACTACTTTTATTTGCCAGCCTGTCTTCTGATCATTTTTCAATTTCACTTTGGTTCTGTAGCCAATAAATTATTCTCCACTCTTTTTTTTTTTCTTTTTTGGTGGTGGGGGGGGTGGGTACCAGCAGTTGAACTCAAGGGCACTTGACCACTGAGCCACATCCCCAGCCCTATTTTGTATTTTATTAGAGACAGAGTCTCACTGAGTTGCTTAGCACCTCACTAAATTGCTGAGGCTGGCTTTGAACTCGTGATCCTCCTGCCTCAGCCTCCTGAGCCACTGGGATTACAGGTTTGTGCCACCATGCCCAGCTTCCACTCTTTTTTTTAAAAAAAAAAAAATTCTCTTCACTGCCATTTTCCTTCAGCTTCTTTAGGCCTCCTCTTGTCCTAATAAAAAGTTTCCTTCATCCCTTGTAGTCCCTCAGATTTCTCTACAACTCACTTATTCTTCAGCCCCTGATATTCAAGTCTTGATCATTCCACTCCACTGAAATTGTTTTCAAAAACTACCCATGAACTCCTACTCATCAAATGAAATAATCCTTTCAATCCCTAAGTAGCCCCTCTCTGGGGGGTATGAAAAGATGACCCTATCTACCTCCTGTTATTCCTGAAGCTCTCTCCACCCCTGGCTGCTCGTTCACTACTCTTTCACATCCTAGTTTCTTCCAACCTTCTGATTCTTCCTTCTCAAGCTAACCTCTCCATTCTCAGGTGGACACCGCTCTCCTTTTAACCTTTCCTTGTTCTACTCCCTCTCCCAAGGCACCTCCTCTCATCAGTGCTCTGATTACTCCCAGCTTCACCTCCACACATGACCTTGTATTCACTTCCACACTTACATTACCAATAACCAGTTCCACATCTCCACCTGCCCTGTCTGGCCAACATTTCAAATCCACCCTTTCAAAACAGAATCCCTTATTAACTAAACCAAACATTCAACTGTGCTTCCTACTTTGATTACTGGTACCCAAGTAGGACTCTCTCCTTTTCTCTTTCAATTCCTACATTCAGTCACTCTGAATAGCACCAACTCTACATTAAAATATTTTCCATCACCTAATTTCCAGTTCCCTGTCACCAGACTCTATTCCTAGGACCTCTATGACCTTGTGCATTGAATTTCTCTAACCCCTCCCCAATGTCATCATTTCTAAAATAAATATATTAGTTATATTATACAGTGCTTTTAAAAATTAAATACATAAATTATATGAAGCACTATATAATTAACATATTAATATGTAATAGCATCATCTAATGTAATTATTATAATTAGTGTATTAATGTCTGGCATATAACACATTCCCAGCAACTTGGAGTTCTCAGTTATTATAACTGATATATTCTAGGAAAACCTGGGTCGGATAAAGTTCACCCTCTCTCCCCAGATGTTCACTAGCTTGCTGTTTTCTACTGAATAAAGTTGTCCAGTATCTTAAAGTGACTCAAAGTCCTTCTATGACCTCCTTCCAGGCAGTCTTCTCTATCTTTGACTCCCCCACACAAATCCAAGACAAATCCACACGAATCTTTCTAGTGCTAGACATTGCTTCCTGTTTCCTAAACGTTCGTACCACACTTCCACATGAATCACATGTTAATTATTGTTTTAATGGCCTAAAATACCTACTGGATAGCCCTTTGCCTCAAAATTCTACTCTACCTTTAAGGTTTAGTTTGGATGTCACCTTTTACTTGAAAGCCTTCTCAGATTCTGCCAGTTAAAATCAGTGGCCCTTTCAAATAGTCTTCAGCATTTTGGAACTACATTTTTTATAGCACTTCTTTCACCTGTAAAACTGGTGGGTTTTTTGTTGTTGTTGTTTTTTCCTGTATCCTACTGACACAGTTTGATTAATCAAGCTCCATGAGATTAGGAGTATCCCCGCAGGGCTGGACTTGTGGCTCAGTGGTAGAGCACTTGCCTTGAATGTGTGAGCCACTGGGTTCGATCTTTAGCATCACATATATATATTAAAAAAAAAAAAAAAGGTCTATCAATAACTAAAAGAAATAAATAAAAAATTTTTTTAAAAAAGAGTATCCTCTCAGCATTGGGACTGAGGCTTTGCTCCTGGTAATAGGTATTCAGTACACATTTGTTGACTTAAAATATTATAAGGATGGTGGATGGTGAGATTATAATTCAAGTAATCTTGATTTTGATTTTTTCTTTTCTTTTCTTTTCTTTTCTCTCTCTCTCTCTCTCTCTCTCTCTCTCTCTCTCTCTCTCTCTCTGTTTTTGTACCAGGAATTGAACCCAGGGGCACTTAACCACTGAATCACTTCCCCTCCCACCTTTTTATTTTTTATTTTGAGAGAGGGTCTCACTAGGTTGCTTGAGGCCTTGCTAATTTGCTGAAACTGGCCTTGAACTTGCAATCCTTCTGCCTCAGTCTCCTGAGTTGCTAGAATTACAGGCATATGCCACTCAGATTCTTGAACAATTTGATAAACAGAGCCAGTGAGTAAAATTACTAATGGGCTTCTGCCTAAAAATATCTGCTTTGATGATGTATTATAAGTTGCCCCCACTTACAAATCAGTTATTACTGAGGCATATTTTTTCCTCCAAATTCACAGATGATCTCCCTCTAGATCATGATCTTGAATGCTTACTTAGACCACCAGATAGCATAAGATAAAGAAAAAAGGCATGAACAGAATGTGTGATGTCCAAAGGAAACTAATCATTACAGTGTAAATGGGTCATTTATAGCAGTTCTTACATATCTTATGTTTGATAGAAATAAAAACAGTAATTACTATATAGCATTTAGTTCTGTCCATCTTCAAAGAAGTTTTCAGATATCAATTATGACTCACAACTCATTTTAGGATAAGTTAATCCTTGTGGGAAAGGCATTATATTTCCAATTCAGAGGTGAAGAAGAGATACACAGATGCTCACTTTTCTAAGATTAAGCAATTTCCCCAAGACAATAAGTGACCCAGACAGAATTTTGAGTATTAGTGCTTAATCACTATACTATAAGATCTATTTATTAGGGCTGGAGTTATGGCTCAGCCGTAGAGTGCTTGCCTCGCACATGTGAGGCACTAGGTTCCTCAGCACCACATAAAAATAAATAAAGATATTGTGTCCATCTTAAAAAAAAAATCCACTTCTTATATCTATCAGATATGAAAAACATAATCACTGTGAGTAATAAGATTATAAAATAAATGGTCTAAAAATATCAATTAAAACTTATACCATCACATTTTGTGAATAGAAAAGTTCTTCATGACACATACTTAATATATCAAGTAAACCATAAATTTGAACCTATGTTTTTCATAAGTGCTCACTTAAGTTTCTTATTATAAATGGGATAGTACCATACTGGGCATATTAAGATGCTAATATGATATATCATTTAAAAAATATCCTTTTTCAGATTGCTTCAGGACATATTATAATTACAGATACAAAATTATAAAGGTAACCAGGTTATTGAATCACATGTTAAACATTAAAGTTTAAAAAAAATTTTAAAAAACTCTTAAAAGCATTCTTGAAAAAAATGCTGCCTCCTCCTCCTACAAAAAAGGCCAACTTCTATTAACATGCCTATTGGACAAACAGTGGTCTAAATAGAACCATCATAGAGGAAGGGCTCTACGATGAGACTGGGAACAAGATATTGCCTCTCCCTGTACCCTTAAATCACATACCAACATATTCATATATGATATATACCAAATTCTGTGTTAATATTGTGAATACAGAATTTTAGACTGGGCATGTCAATAAATCATCTAATCTAGAGATTCTAAATGTGTAGGGATCCATGGATAGACTCCAAAGAGTCAGTGACAACCAGAAATTTGTCATAGTTTTGTTTGTTTGTTTTAGGGCAGTGCCAAACTCAGGGACTCACACTCACTAGGCAAGCACACTCTACCACTGAGCTATATCCCCAACCCCAGGCACCTGCAACTTGCAAACACCCTATAGGTTACATATGAAGGGTTCCATAGACAAGTTTATCCTCAAATAAGTCTACATTCAATCCACAAATGTTTTCATATGCTTCAGAATTACAATGAAATATTCTGTATTCAAGTGATACTACTTTTTAAAATACTACTGCTCTAAAAGGGGGCATAAAATATATTATACCAATATTCAAACATTCATTTTAAAAAAATCTTCAATTCTACTGCATTATAAGCCACTACTTACTGACAAGACGATCTTTCTGATGTTTGACACATAGAGTGCCACATAGTCTTGTATGTAGACTGGTAGATCAGTTATTTTCACATTATACCAATTCATCATCAGTGCTATTTCATTTTCATTATTGCCACTCCATACGATGATAGAGGGATGAGACTTCAGTCTCCTGACCTGAAATGTAAGAAAACTTAAAAATAATCTTCCAATACTTAACATAAAAGACTCAGAGCTATAATTATTCAGAAAATTATAGCTACTGCATTTTGGCACACAAATTCTTCTGTGCCAGGGAACTCATTAGAAAATTGTCAGTCATGTTAGCTGTGGGAATACATTTTAAGAATTCTCTGAGATTCTTTGTGTCTAGATTTATTACACACTGATAAGGCAGTAATCCTTTCTCTCTGCCATACAAAAACTGAAGAAAATATAATCCTTTTTTAAAAAAAAGAAAGCAGATAAAGAAATAGACCTGATCATTATCTGAATTGCCATGAAAAGGTTCCAAGAATCACAAAAGGCAAGAGACATTACATTACAGGGGTTAGTTCTCAGGAGCAAGCTGAAGTTTTGTATGAAGAAACAAATGAAGGAGACCAAGCACTATCACTGCAAGAGGGACAGAGGTTCCCCTGCTGCCTCTTAAAAATAACTAGAAGAGAGAACTCAGGCTACAAACACAAAGTGAGGCTGAGAAGATAGAAATGTTCGTGACCCTGATTTGATCAGTATATATTGAACACATGGATTGAGATATCACACTGTGCCCCATAAATATGTACAATTAATATGTTAATAAAAAATATTCTGGTTTAAGGAAATGGAAATGCTAACCACCCTGATTTGATCATTACACACTGCATACATTCATCAAATTATCATATTGTTCCCCATAAATTTGTATAACAAAAAATAATTTTTTAAGTTAAGAAAACCAGAAAGAGAACTAGAGAAGATGATACAAAGAGAGTGAGTACTAGAGGGATTCTGGAAGTAAAAGACATGCAGGTGGAAAACAGGTTAGAGAATGTCTCCTGAAAGAGCTCTCAATGTCATGTATTAAGACATCAACTAAGGTTTAATAAGCTACTGAATATACCTAAATACAAAAGAAGATGTCAGAGAGTCTGTCTGAAAACACTGCCAGATGGGAGCAATAGGGCCAGTAGGAGCTGGGCCCACCTGGGCCAGCCCTAAGTAAAGGCAAAAGGATCCAGATCTGTTATGCTAAGGACAGACATGAGCATGCCTCTGTCTTCTGACATACTGGGCCATGTGCCCCAGCATAGGTGGGCACTTTGATGTCCTTGAAAATGGGAATGAGTCGATGGTCAAGAGAAATTCCTCAGAAATATGTTTTGACACTACTACCTTATTGATATAAAACCTTCTCTTTCACTGTGATGGACCATTACCACAAGAAGCTGTGAAACTCAGATAAATGTAACAGCAGCATAGTGTATATGAAAGAGATATGCTTCATTTAAAAAAAATTAAAAGCTTTGTGTTTTCTAAAGCAACTCTGTAAACAGTACAGCATTTTCCCTTTTTGCAACAGTACATGTTGCAAAGTGAGAGCTGCTATCAACTGTGACAGGCAGATTTATGATGCTGATGAAAACACACACACACACAAAAAAAAAATATCCCAAAGAGGCAAAAAGCTTCCATGACTCGGTGTCACCGACACCCTTCCACTGACTTTTATGGTAAGTCTTACCCCTAATAAATTTTAACAAGCTTTACCTAAAATGGTTCTTTCTTCAATAAAACAAAAAGAACCGAAGGTACATAGATGTTATAGCTTGTGTAACTATGATTAATATTTTAAAAGTTATACATGCATGCATCCATCCATCCAGCTATCCATTCAATGAATAATCCTGCCAGGGAGAAGGGATATAGAGGGAAACCAACCACAGGCTTCAGGGAGATGACGATCTTATAGGGGCAACAAAACCCGGAACAAGTGTGTTTGAATCACCAAGGGCAAATGAGGGTGTCCTAATCTAGATTTAAGGATTTAGAAGGGTTTTTCCCAGAGAAAGTTATGCTCAAAGTAAGAAGGGCCCAATGAGGTGGTCCACCAGGAAGGGGAGGAGAGATGTGGTAAGACACAGAGAGGAAGAGGGAGATCATGTTTGAAGAGGCTGGAGACATGGGCAGGGACAGAATCCCCCATGCTGAAGATCTTTAATTTTACCCTGAGAACAACAAGAAGCCTCTGGAGGGCTCTTAGCAAGCAAAGGATGCAACATGCACTTTTTAAACCTTTAATTTAAAAATTAAACAGCCACAGAAAACAATCCTGATGTAATGAATCAGGCCATTACCCTTATAACCATTGCCCAGACCAAGCAGCAAACTCTCCCCCAGAGCCCTCCACATACCTCTTCCTAGTCATAGACCCTTCCTCCTGACAAAGTAACCTCTATCTTGAGTGTTACAGTAGTCATTTCTGTGCATTTCTTTATGGTTTTCCACCGAATACATCTGCAGATATCATCTTATAAACAAATTTTAATATATTGAATGGATTTCAATCCATTGACATTCTTATCCTTTTTGAATCTCAAATTTTCCTACTTTTGATTGGTTAGTCTCTTCAAAGTCCTTTTGACTTTGATAACTTCCTTGTTATCTGTATGTCAAGATAGACCAGGATCAAGATTCTGAGCAGAAGTGTGGTACCACTCAATGCGTGTTGGAAGGATGACCTTGGCACTTCTGCTGAGAATTCACTCACACTGGGAGAGACCCATGCTAAAGACATTAACTAGAAAACAAATGCCAATTGTAGAGAAGAGAAAAAATGAGAATTTGAACTAGTGTAGTAAGTATAAGGCTGAGAAGTTAAGTATAAATACTGTTCATTTACATATATTATGCCATTTAATCTTCAAAATGGCTTTATGAGAAGAATAAAATCATTCCAGCTTTACAGACTGCAAGATTGGGGCTCAAGCAGTAAATCAACCTCCCTACAGTGGCAGGTTGACTTTTAAAGAAGAAACCAAAACACTTATTCTTTGTATATCACCATTGCAAAAGAAAAGAAAATCTAGAAGATAATTGGACATGAGAAGCTGAAAACAGAGTCAGAAATAACCTATAGTATCTTTACCTGAAGTTACTGAAAAAATGAATGCTTCCTCCTTTGAGGAAAACAGAGCATTATAAAGTCTACTCAGTATGTCTGTATAGTCTTGTAAAATCTAGAAAGTAGACGTGATATCCTGATCTAGTGATCATCTTTTATAAATACCAGTGGACCACTCCAGCGAATGTTTCAGTAGTATTTGGCTAACATATTACAATACATTTTATATGTATTGTAATATGTTAGCCAAATATATTCACAAGTTCTTAGCTATGTGGGGAGTACAAGTTCAAGCTCTGTTCATTTGGATAAAGGGGAGTACATTATGATTCAGAATTTTCTTATAGTGCCAAGAATGCCCCACTGAGTTTACATGGCAACTTAAGATCCAGGAGATAGGTAAAGTAATGTAAACTGGGTTTCAAAGCATAATCACCCCCTAAACAGATCTTCCTGCAAAAAATAAGTATATTCAGCGTATACTGATCAACCTCCAATCTGTAGCTAAAATTATCAGTTGATGACATTATAATAGATAGCATTCTTTAAAAAAAAAAAAAGAGAGATTCCAGGATAATTAGATATTTCTGCTCCAGACCTCAAATCCCCCATTTCTCTAGGAAGCTTTGCCCTATCTTTCACAGTACTGGGGATTCAACCAGAACCTTGAGTATGTTAGGTTGGTATGGAAGTGCTCTACCACTGGGCTATACCCCAGTCCAACATTAAGACATTTTCGTCTTTATCTTCTCTTCCTCCTCTTCCTTTTTTTTTTTCTTTTTTCTTTTAAGACAGGGTCTCACTGTGCTGTGGCTGTGTAACTGGCTTTGAATTCCTGGGTTCAAGCAGTCCTCCTGTTTCAACGTCCCAAGTAACTAGAACTATAGGAGCATACCATCGTGCCAGCAGCCGCCTTTCTCTCTTATAGAAAAGATTATTTCAATACAAGGATACTTGATACTACTAGGCTGGCTACTGTTTGTAGGCCTTTTCAGTGGACTGAGCTAGTATATTATCACTTCCTTGCATTTCTGTATCTATAAGTGTAAGTGTGTATATGTGGAATACAAAAGAAATCAGAGTCAATTATTTTCTATTTTTGAAACTGAACGGAGCAATTCAAAAAATGACAACATTTGTTGAGGTAGGAAAAACTGCAGAAGCAAGATTAGGGGAAGGGATATAAGTTTGGTTTGGACATGTTACATTTGAGATGCCTCTAAAACTTCCAATCAGAGGCTCAGGTAGACAGCAAAAAACTTAGCACAGGACATAAATCTGAAAGTTGTCAGCAAATAGGCAGTGTTAAAGTCATGACTGGGTGGTCCACCTAGGGACTCGATTATCTGACTGATTTTTCACAGGATTTAATAAGGAACAACAAAATGAAATGGGGAGAGAAATTTACAAAAGGCAAAACTAAAACATAAGCATTTTCTCTTTTCTTGCAATAGTAATAACATACCTGGTGAGCAACTTCTTTTGCCACTGAATACATGAAGCTCTGTTCATTTGGATAAAGGGCACAGGCAAACATAAAATCCTGCCATACCTAGCAAATAAAAGGCAATAAAATACTTCTGTAAATTAAAGCACACAGAAAAAAAAAAAGTCTTCAGTTTGAACTTGGGGGGTTATCCTTCATATAAATGAGAAATCAGGTTGGCTGATGAATGTGACCATTTGAGCCCTGCTGTGCCTAAAAGCTCTGGCACATCTAGGACTTTTCAGAGCTCCACAAAAGTTGTCCAAAACCTGAAAAGAGAAAATGTTAGGTAGGTAGGAAAAAAAAAAGAGAATTCAAAAGAGGAAATAATACACGTTGGGGGAAAACAAAATGAAGCTTTCCCAAAATTCTTCTAATTCCTAACTCTTTTTCATTTTCATCAAAAATTTGAGATACTCCATGGTTAAAAGAGGGATACTCTGTGATTAAAAACCAGACTTCACTTATAAAGGAATTAATGTTTGATGGCCAAGAGGATTACTACATGCCCACTTCAATATTGGAACCATGAAGACCTTTCCTCGGAAGGCTGCATGATGAAGTGGTTAAAAGCCCAACCCCCAAGCCATTTGCCTTACTCAGAACTTTGATTCTACTATATACAGGCAATTGCATTTGATCAAGGTGTATAACCTCTCCATGTGTCAGTTTCCTTATCTGTAAATGGGGGTAGAGAATAATAGCAAATACCTCATTGGCTGGGTATGAAGATAGAATAAAATAATATATGCAGAGCACTTAGACCAATGCCTGGCACTCAGTGAATATTACAGAATATTGTCATCAATATCATCATCATTATTATTATGTCCTACTCTTCTATGATGTTTTGTATATCTGATAACTGTAACATTAGAACTGAAACTATATACACTTAGCCCTCCATATTTATGGATTCTATATCTAGGAATTCAGCCAACTACCAACCAAATATGTTTTTAAAAAATCATATTTATACTGAACATGTACAGACTTTTTGTTTTTGTCTTTATTCCCTAACCAATCTAGTGTGACAACTATTTATATAGCACTCACATTGTATTTGGTATTTTAAGATCAGAGACATGTCAAAGTATATAGGAGGATGCACAGGTTATATGCAAATACTCCACTACTTTATATATGGAACCTGGAGTATTTATGGATTTTAGTATCCATAGGATTCTGGAATCAGTACCCCACAGACACCAAGGGATGATTGCATTTCCTTTGCTCTCACTCACCATTGCAAGACATGCTGACAGTACTTCCATAACAACATTAATTTTATTATTTTTTTTAAATATTTTATTTTTTAGTTGTAGTTGGACACAATACCTTTATTTCACTTGTTTATTTTTGTATGTGGTGCTGAGGATCGAACCCAGGGTCTCGCACGTGCAAGGCGAGCACTCTACGGCTGAGCCACAACCCCAGCCCTATTATTTTGCTTCTCTCTGGGACTAGTCAGTGCTCCTTAAAGTTAAATTATTTATATATTTTATTTTATTAAGCATACTTACATATGACAAAGAAAATATACATAGATACATACATAGATATAACCAATATATACAATACTTATTATTTTAAAATAATTAGGTAATCCTGATATTTGCCATCAACAATGGCTCTGGGTTTACAAGATGTCATGTACTCCTTTGGCCAAAATGGAACATTATACCAGGCTCTGAAAAAAGAAGTAAGGCGTAATAATATCCACTCAGAACACTGGAAGACAAACTGAGGACACAGTAACCTATCAATATATAAAAATGCTATCAACTACTCACCATTATCCCTAGTTCATCACAGAGTTCATAGAACTTATCCTGCTCATAAATGCCTCCTCCCCACACCCGAAGAACATTCATGTTAGCATCCACAACAGACTGCAAAAGGAGCCGTAACCTGCAGGAGAAAGGTAGAAAGTAATTTAATTTAGATACTTTGGAATATTAAGAAAAAAATTTAAAAACATTTTTAAATCTCTGTTAGAAAAACACACCTTAAAATCGCAATAATTTGGATATAAATCTAAATAAAGAAAGTGAAGTAAATATTTACTTCTAGATAATATATAATTTACATGTAACCACATAAAGCAAACAAACTTTGAAAAATATGGACATCTTTCCTTTCTAAATATTCAGTAATGTTACACTATTTTTTAAAGCTAATTTTTGTTTTGTATTTATTCCTACAGAAAAAAATTGCGATGTAAAACTTAGAAAGTTCACTTATTTTATATTGCACACAATATATTATATTGCAAATGCCATTGCAAACAACAAAACAAAAATCAAAGCTTGAATATTATTGCCTCACTCACCCTGATCTTTTTTAAAATTCTTTCAGCCTTATACTCCTTTCTGCAGTAAATATCCTTTCTACTTTATCCAATTCTTTTTCACTCTACCCTCTGGAAAATCTAGAAATTTACAGCCAGTTGGAGAGCATGGCCCTTCCCTCCAGCCCCAGAACACTGCTCCGGAATGAATTGGAAAGCCAAAGAACAGGCTGGTCCCTTTAAACTCTGCTCTCAACATCCCCGGCAGGCTGACAAAAATTGGCCCAGTTGTGCTAAACAGAAAGGGCAAATCAGTAGGAGGAGAAGGGAAAAAATAGAGCAAATTATCCTATGCTGCATCTGGAGGAGCATTTCATTGTCTTATGAAATCTAAAATAAAACACACATTTTAAAGTAAAAGAAAATCACAATAAGTATTATAAAACTGAGGATTTAGCTACTAATGATATTTACATTCTAAACATCAAATAACATACTACAAGGCAGACTTATACATTTGTAAATATGCTGAGCTGTTATTTAACTTAAGGCAAAGAAAAAAGTGTTTATTTTCCTTTCACAAAGTTTATTTTCACTATCGCAAAGATAGTTTATACAATCAATTAGGAAATATTGTTTTCTTCTAAAGTTCTATTCTCAAACCCTTCAGAAAAACACTCCGGGTTTTTTCCTAGATGTAGATTTTTTACGATTTTTGTTTGTTTTCTTTTCTTTTAAATAAGTTGTATTATATATTTAAGTTATACAATATGATGTTATGGGATATGTACAGATAGTAAAAAGGCTATTATGGCAAAACAAATTAACATAGCCATCATTTCACATAGTCACCCATTTTTCTTGTTTTAGCGCCAAGAGCAGCAAAAATATACTCATTTAACATGAGCCCACGAATGGTCCAATTGTATTTCCCATGGTCCACATGTTGTCCAACAAATCTCCAGACCTGGTCCTCCCACATACCTCCTGCTTTGTATCCCTGACCCATAGCTCCCCATTTCCTCCCCAACCAAGATTTAGTTCTTTTATTAAGGTAAAAGTAAAAGAATATTATGTTAGCACAAAAATAAAAGTATGGATTGCTATCTGTTAAAACCATTCTCAAAAATACTTAAGATATTATTTGAAGAACTGAAAAAAAAGTTAAATATGATAATTTCTTTTCTGGGACTCACTACCCAAAATGTGAAGCTGCCATTTTCTTGTTTATCCAGGGTAAATATATAATAGTTTTCTAAAATTGGATGGCTAAAGTTGTCTCTATCAATAGCTCAGGAGATTGGAATATTTGATTTAAAAGTCTGCCCATTCTAAAGTTTCTATCATCCTGGAATTCTATACTACCTCTCAGTTCTTCCTGAGACCCAAAAAAATAGAAGTGAGTCACTCTTAAGCTTTTTGAGACAGTTAATAAAAAAGGAACAAGAAAAGAATGCCAATACTCACAAGTCAGAAGTTACTCTATCCTGGAAAGAATCTGGTGGGATCCAGTTGGAGCCTTTCAGAAATATGGGAAGTCCATTAATCTTAAAGTAGAAACTCAGACCACGAGATCCTTTTATGGGCTCTTCTACAAGTTCTACTGTTCTAAAATAAACCTGTCATGAACAATTAAATATTGAATATTGAATCAGACACATACACAAAATTTGTTTTTTTAAAAAAAGAGGCATGCTTCTTAAACATATTTTAATGTAATCAGATTTTAATGTAAAGTTTCCTATTTGCTACAAAGCAATTAATGTGAAAATATAAATTTCAGTAAATATATTAGTCTGTTATTTCTCTTGAAAAAGAAAAATACAGAAACAAAGAGCAAAATACATTGAGTCTTCCTCATGGAATGGGCTTTTATGATTACGTAAGAACAAAAGCACATTTGAACATAGCATTTCATAATTAAAACAAAAATTGATGCTTTTTCACAAAAGTAGGAAAAAAGTACCATCAGTCAAACTAATACATCTTCAATTGAAAAACACATTCTCATTTCAGTGTTATTAAAATGTGCCAAAATGTGTATCTTGGAATCAAAGGGAAAAAAAGCTTACGCACTTTATAATTTACAACTTTCCAATCTTAATAGCACATTACTATAAAAAATAACTTTGTTTAATGGGCAATTTCATCCTAATTATCACATTAAACTCAATGTTTGACAGAGCTCTGGTATATCAACTGGAGCTGTATGGGATACATTCATTGGAAGAAGATCTTACAGGAGCACACACTTCAGTGCTATCATTGCTACAGGAGAGGAGGAGACTTTGTTCCTCAGTCCAGTCAGATTGTCCCAGTTAGTTAAGGGCAACAAGACCTAGAAAAGCTCTGCTATTCTCATCAAAATCTTCCTTTTTAACATCCATAAACCTGATCAAGGAATGAGTGACATTGTTGTTTACCAATAAAGCCTAGCCTTGAATCAAAATTATGCACTTCTCAGGGCTGGGGTTATGGTTCAGTGGCAGAGTGCTTGCCTAGCATGTGTGAGGCACTGGGTTCAATCCTCAGCACCACATATAAATAAATAAAAAATAAAGGTACATTAACAACTAAAATTTTTTTAAAAAATTATACACTTCTCAAATTAAAAAAAAAACACAAATCAGTATATTTCATGTAGTGTCAGTGTCTACATTCATTCATCCTTCTACTTTCTTATCTTTGCCCTTATTTAGAAGACAAGACAAAAGAAATCAGAATTAACTTCATGAGAAGACACAGAACATGACCTGGATCAGGAGAATTTTGACATGGAATTGCCACACCTGCTTTAGAGTGGTGAAGAAGTCACCATGGTTTTTAGAGACCACTTTTTGATGGTGAGCTCAACTTTCTAGAAGAGTAGTTCTTTGAAAGTGGTCTCTTAGAACCTTTCAGGGGTCCTGGGGCTCCGAATTATTGGCACAATAAAAGTTAAAACCCTATTTGCCTTTTTCTCTCTTATTCTTTCCTGAGTGTGAGTGGAATTCCTAGGGATGATTGTTTTAGTCAACTTTTTCACTGCTGTAACCAAAAGACCTGACAAGAACAATTTTAGAGGAGTAAAAGCCTATTTGGGGCTCACAGTTACAGAGATCTCAGTCCATAGACAACCAATCTCTCCAGGAACACATATATACGCCAAAGGCACACAGCCCCAATGACCCACCTCCTCCAGCTACACCCCACCCACCTGCCTATAGTTACCACCTAGTTAATCTCTATCAGTGGATTAATGCACTAATTAGGTTAAGGTTTTCATAACCCAATCATTTCACCTCTAAATTTCTTGCATTGACTCACACAAGAGCTTTTGGGGTATACCTCATATCTAAATCATAATAATGATGTGAGATGACATCCTGACTGGCAGCTAAGTACTTTGTATATTCTGTATGCTATTTTTTGGTTTTTTCCTTTGTTTCTTTTGTGGTGCTGAGTTCTGAACCCAGGGCCTTGCACATGTTAGGCAAGCACTCTACCACTAAGCTACATTCTCAGCCCTGTGGGCTCTATTTCTAAAGCATAGGTTTTGGGTTTAAAGAAGTGCTTTTTGAAAGATTTACTCAGTTTGTTCTCAGTACTTTTACTGTGCTCTTTCTATCTCTCTTTAATTATTTCTGTTATAATCTCTGTAAACTGTCTCTAACTGTTCAACAAATCTTTATTATGAATCCCACAGTTTCCCTCGCAACCTTCACAGAAACATAAGACTGGATCCTCTTTGTTAGTTTTATTCACAGTGATATTTCTTAAGTTTTTTAAATCAAATATTAATTTTTAAATTAAAACCCATTTTAGAGTTTAATAATATTTTATCTCATTCTAAAAGAAAATTGAATATATGTTTTCCTAATGTAAGGATGAATTGTTAAAATAGTATTAGAAGGTTTAAATTCTCAACCTCTAACTGTCCTGTCTGCATCTAAAAGTGCTGAAAAACAATGAAACTGACATAAGAGAGTCTTTTGACTTGTGGGGTTGGGAGGAGAATCTATTCCAAGGAAACTGGGTAACATTATAAATAACAAATGAAATTATTATGACAGTCATCTTTCCCTCATCTTTAGAGATTTTTTTTAAAGGAACAATAAGCATTGGATAAGACAAATGAAGGAAATGACTTATAGCAGAAGCTGTAATGGCCACACATATGGACTGCCCACCCTTGGAGACTCCACAGATCTCAAAAAATGCAGATGGAATTTCATCACCATAAATAAACGCTAATGGAGGGTGTAAACTATTGTTGTTGAGTTATATACTGCAAAAGTAAAATCAATATGTCATTAGCTGGGACCTGAAAACCAAGATTTAATTGTCAAGCAAGGTGAATCTGCAGGGCTAGCTCAGTGGCCACCTCAGCTCCACTCACATTGATTTTATTTTTTAGTGAAATATTACTTTTTTTATTACACATATAATATAATTTTTCATGTCTCTGGTTGCACACAGAGTCACACAATTCATGTCTTCATACATGTACTTAGGATAATGATGTTCATCTCATTATCTTTAGAGATTTTAACAAGTTACTTTATTGTGTCTTGTACAATGCACTACCTTTTTAAAAAAGAAAAAGAAATCAAATACCTTAAACTTAGACATGACAAGCTTTTTAAAAGCCAAATACTATTTGTTACATCTTTTCAAATCAGTGATGAAAAAGGCTATGGTCTCTATTATATAGAGTTCCTGGTGCTGCACTGGCTGGAGAAGTACATGTGTTGGGTTTTTGAGTGCCTCCAGGATGAAAAGTCAATGAAAAAAAACCACAGCATCACCATTTTGTAATGACACAGTAACACGTTCAATTAAAAGATCTAGCTGCAATATGAAGATTGAGTTGATATTGGAAAAATCATACTTTTGCTTTACAAAAGGGTGAACTTCCTGACATTGATGAGCTTGCTATTTTGCATGTGTTTGTCTGTTATCAGACAAATAATTTATCAAAGAAGATATTTTATGTGAATTTTTAACACCAAAGTACAAGAGGTGTTGAAATACTCAGAGTACTGAATTTTTTTTTTAAATCTCAAGGTTATAGTGCAATTTCTGTGTTAGCATTTGCACAGGCGTTAAAATGCAGAGGGTAACACTGCAGATCCCTTAGCAGAAATCAAAGCAGCAGCTCCAAACTGTGTTAGTTGTCATTATTTCCTTCACCTTCAAGCATTAGCAGAAAAAAAGTGTCAGTGTCACTTCAGATAAAGCAGCAAAAATTGTCAATCTTATTAAATATCAAGGCTGATTACACATCATTTTAATATCCTATGTGATGAAAAGAGAAATACCATGCAGGACAAACATCTTGAGGAAAAACATCTGGGCCATTTTTTGAGTAGTGAGCTCGGTCAGTCATCTCATTATGAAACTCCATTTTTACTAGAAAAAAGGACTAACGGATGACCTATGGCTGTTCTGACATGGATTCCTGGCAGGCATTTTCTTGAAAGGGAATGAGTGAGTCTGTCACTTCAAAGAAGACAACTGGCAATATTTGTGGACAATGATAAAACTCAAACTTTCAAGTAAAAAAACAGGATTTAGAAAAGCTTGTATCCATTACCCTGAGCTTGAGAGCATTTGATACTTAAAAGATTTTCCAGGTGACATCAGAGGAGATATTAACAAATATGAATGTGATTCTGGAAAATGAAATTGTTTCAACATTTGGAAGATTTATAATTTCTCAGGAAACCAACAATTTTTAAATAACCAATGTATTATATTACAGTGTCACACCATTTGAGTAAGGAATCCATTAAAACTGCAAGATAGTCCAATGGATTTTAACGTAACAGAATGAAAAGTTCATTGAAATTGCTTCAGAGTTGCAACCAACCTTTAAGAAACTATCACCTGTTGCCGGGCACAGTGGTACATGCCTATAATCCCAATGGCTCAGAAAACTGAGAGGCAGGAGGATCACAGTTTCAAAGTCAGTCTCAGCAACTTAGTAAGGCCCTAAGCAACTTAGCAAGACCCTGTCTCAAAAAAGAAAATTTTAAAAAAGGCCTGAGGATGTGGCTCAGTGATAAAGTAGCCTGAGGCCTGAGGTTTAATTTCTAGTACCAAGCACACACAAAAAAACTACCACTTGTTAAGTTCTAGTATAGTACCAAAGAATATCCACAATTATCTGAAAATACTATTAAAGCACTCTTCCTTTTTTACAACTACATGTCTGTGTAAGGTCAGATTCTCTTCATGTTTCAACCAGAAGAACATATTGAAAATTGAACACAGATGCAGATAAGAATCTAGCTGCCTTTATTAAAATATTAAAGACATTTGCAAATATATAAAACAATGTCATTATTCACATCAAATTTTTGGTTTATAAATATACTTACTTTTCATAAAATAAGTCAGATAAACTCACATCTCATGACTTATTGTGGTGATTTTAGATGAATAAGTAAATATTTAATTCTAAGTATAAATATTTACTATGGTAATACATAGAGCCCAAAGAAACATCAGCACATTAGGGTTCTCAATACTTTTTGTGGAGGCGGGAGGAGTAATGGGGAGAACCCAGGGCCATGTATCACCAAGTCACATCCCCAGTACTTCTAATTGTATTTTATTTATTTATTTATTTTTGAGC